GGATGGATGCTCTGATGTATGGATGGATGGGTGGATGGATGGATGGATGGATGGTCTGATGGATGCTCTGATGTGTGTATGGATGGATGGATGGATGGATGGATGGATGCTCTGATGTATGGATGGATGGGTGGATGGATGGATGGATGAATGCTCTGATGGATGCTCTGATGTATGTATGGATGGATGGATGCTCTGATGTATGTATGTATGTATGTATGGATGGATGAATGTATGTATGGATGGATGAATGTATGTATGGATGGATGGATGGATGCTCTGATGGATGCTCTGATGGATGCTCTGATGTGTGGATGGATGGATGGATGAATGCTCTGATGTATGGATGTATGGATGGATGTATGGATGGATGGATGGTTTTGTGAAGTAAGGATAAATGAGAACTTGTTGTTTTGATCTGGTTGTTGTAAAAATAAAACCTGAAGTTTCTGGTTTTCCTCAGCGTGTGGAGGCTTCATTGAGCTGAGTGATTTTGACCCACCTGGCTACCTGACTTCACCCAACTATCCACAGAACTATCCCACCAACAGTGACTGTATTTGGGTGATCACTGTGCCCAATGGGGAAGCTGTCCAAATTGACTTTGAAGATGAATTCTACATTGAGCCCACAACTAGGTATATTTGCAATCTTATTTTTATTTTTTTGCTTTGGTTATTTTTACATTTGTATAAGAATATACTGTATATTTAATACAGGATATTCAGCCACTCCTATATTTGTCAATCCTTCAGGATGATTTGGATTCTTCAGGAGATAATTGCTTTTTGTTCTTTTTTTATTATAATTTTTTTATTTTTAGCTGTATCTATGACTACTTGGAGATCCGAGATGGCTCATCAATCAATTCTGACTTAGTTTCCCGGCTCTGTGGGAACACCAGGCCATCCACACAACATTCCAAAGGTTCTTCAATGCTGCTGAGGTTTCGCACTGACCACAGTGTGACACACAAAGGATTTAAAGCAAAATACTCCATAGGTTTGTATTCGTAAACAGTGACACATTAGCTTTCCTAATTCAGGAACTGATATTGGAGCATGAACCCAGTTCTCACAGATATCAAATAAAACCTTTTAGACGGTTTTAAAAACATTGTGTATTTGATTTTTTTCTATCCCAGCCACCTGTGGAGGAACCTACATAGGTAGCACAGGTGTGGTTCAAAGCCCTGGCTTCCCAGGATCGAACTATCCTGATAGCTCCAGCTGTGAGTGGTACCTCGAGGGGCCCACTGGGCACTACTTGACCCTCAGCTTTGGGAACTTCAGCCTGCAGAACACTCCAGGATGTACTGCTGACTACGTGGAGCTCAGAGAGTACAATGCTTCGGGTGAGAAAACAAGAGGCTCAATTTATTTAGAAGAAAACAACACGGTCTGAGTTCGATCCCCAGTTCAGACCTGGGGTCTTTCTGTGTGGAGTTTGCACGTTCTCCTCATGCTAGCGTGGGTTTTCTCCACACCCCCAAAAACATGTACGGTTAAGTGCCTTCAGGGCCAGGCCTCCCCTGCAAAAGTGCTCTGTGATCTTAATGGGATTTGCCTGGTTCAACACTGGCAAATATTTAATCAGTGACTGCTGTAGAGAGAATGAAATGGGATAAACTTCTTTTTATCTTCACAGGGCGTCTGCTGGGTCGACACTGTGGAAACAATCTCCCTGCTTCTGTTGATACGTCGGACAGTTTTGCGTATGTCAAGTTTGTGAGTGACACCAGTGGAAATGCAGCTGGCTTCAGGCTGACGTTTGAAGCCAGCATTGAAGGTACGATCATTTCTGATGTTTATAGCAAATATCATGCATGTATTGATTGATTTTAGATAACCCTGAACCATCCCTTTTCTTGAAGTGCCAAATGCCTAAATAGCTGAATGGCATCCTAAATAAATTGAGCAACTCTTTTGAAATTCTTGTCCTGTATTTTCCATGTATTTAATCCACCTGCTGAAGCCTCACAGGTCATTTTGACCCGAGGGGAACAAAAGAGTTACATTTCCAAGCAGGCAGACAGGGGACAGAGCCAAATCTGACTAACCACAAGGAGAAAAGAAAAGACCTGAATTAACTGCTGCTTGGACAGGTTTTGCAGACAAAAAACAAAACAAAACAACAATATGTTCAGCTAGCCTGCATTAAGGGTTTCTTTAGTATTTGGAACTACATAGATTGTGTTTTGGACTTAATTTGAAACAATACAAATAAAACTGGTACAGTTTAGTTCACAGGGAATTTATTCAAAAGGTCAAAAATGTCTGTTAATAATTATTTGTTTCATTTGGATATCTTGTTGCTTTCTGCAGCTTGTGGAGGACAACTGAATGCTCCCTCAGGAACCATCTCCTCCCCCAACTATCCCAATCTRTATCCTCACAACCGAGTGTGTCGCTGGGAGTTAGTGGTGACCCCGGGCCGCAGAGTCACGCTCACCATCAACGACCTGCGGTTGGAAGGCTCTGGTTCTTCATGTGTCTTTGACTACGTGGATGTGAGTTTGACTTTGAGCATTATTTAATAAATGATTTGTCTTAGATCATAACAGCAGCATGCATTGTTAAAGGTACAGTCCAATCAGCTTTGACTTGATGTTCTGTCTAATAATTACTACCATTTTGTGCTTTAGGGATTATGACACTAATGCCTCTCAAAAATGGCACGCTGGTTTAAAAAAACACTATTTTAGCTAATGTTAAATCTCTACCTGTTTGCATCAAAATGGTTATATTCTAGAGTAGAGGTTTTCAACAATAGGGTCACAACCTCTGATTGGGCCATGAGTTGTTTAACTAATTTATTTTTATTTTATTTTTTTAATTATGTCTGCATCACACTTTACCATGAATCCAATGTGTAGCAAATTGATAAACGGAAGCATAAATTTCAGTCAGAAATGCACACATTCATTGAGCACACCAGCTGAACTCTGCTTCACTCAGCTTGACCCTCCATGCATTCTACACACAAAGAGAAGGACCCGCCCCCCTATCCATACTGGGCAGGTCGTGTGGCCCTGCTGGCGTGTTCGCTCACACCTAAGATTTGCTGTGATGTTTTGGTTATAACTGGTACTTCTAATAAAAATTGATTATATTAAATGAGAAGAAATGAATCCTAAGCCATACGCAGATTAATCTGATATGTGAAACACGGGGTTTTAGGTACTGAATGGGCTGACTGCAGATGCTCCACGCCTCCAGAGGTTCTGTGGTACGGTACCAGCAGGAACTCAAGTGCGTTCCTCCAGCAACACAATGACTGTTGTGTTCAACACTGATGCTTCTGTGTCCAACGGTGGCTTCATGGCTACTTACACTTCTGATGAGCCTGCAGGTGAGATGCTTTTGTCTGGGTGTGTGTGTGTGTGTGTGTGTGTGTGTGTGTGTGTGTG